TCGCTTTTAAAAAATCAATGGAGCCCTAGCTGGTTTGACTCAGTGGATACAGGGTCAGCCTGCAGACTGAATGGTCCTGGGTTCAATTTTGATCAAGGGCACATGCCCAGATTGTGGGCTCAATCTCCAGTAGTGGGCAAGCAGGAGGCAGCTGATCAGTGATTCTCATCATTGATGTTTCTATCTCTCTTTACCTCTCCCTTCCTCTCTGAAACCAATGAATGCATGGATGGGTGAAATAACTAACTAATAGCTCATTGTCTTTTGAATCAATCCTATATAATAAAGAGCTAATATGCTAATTAGGCCAGACGGCAGAATGACCTTCTGGAATGACCAGTGGGCAGGGGGCAGGGCCAGCGAGCCTGTGCTGCCAGGCCAGCCATGGCGGTCCTGGTGTTCCCCCTTTTGCAGAGGTGGTGGCAGAGGGGGCGCTTCCGCAGAGGCAGGATGGGGTGCAACCGTGTCGCCTCAACCTCCCATGGCCCCTCCCCAGCCTGCCCTCAATTGCCCCCCCCACCAGTGGGTGGGGGGTGGGGCCAGCGCTAAGGAGCAGCGAGCCTGGCTTCTGGTTGAGCAGCACTCCCCTCCCCGCTCAGCCAGAAGCCAGGCTCACAGCTGGCAAGCTCAGCGGCGTTGGCGGGAGCCTCTCCTGTCTCTGCGGCAGGTGGGCAGTAAGGGACAAGGAGTCCTGAACTGTGAGAGCCCCAGACTGCGAGAGGGTGCAGGCCGGGCTACGGAATCCCCCCTTCCCCCAGTGCATGAATTTCATGCATCGGGCCTCTAGTATAAAATAAAAGTTCATTTCTCCTAAAAAAAAAAAAAAAGTGAAACCTATTTTTCTAAGGGGAGAAACTGAGGCTCATTGAAATAACAGAACTTCTCCAGGCCCCCAAGTTTTCTTGAAACTCTTGAAGAGGACACATATATGGGCAACTCTGTTGTTAGTGCTTAATCTTTCTAAAAAATCCCAGAAACCAGAGCGTCTGGTCAAGTGCTCTACTGGAGCAGCAGGCTTTAGAAAAACAAGAAAAATCCCACTGTGATGAAAAAGATTCATTTGTTTTCAGGTTGTGGCCCTTCCGTCCTCAGGGTGGCCCCTGCCCTATTGCCTGTGTCTTCAGCTTCGATTGATAATCTTCCACCCACACAAGCCTTGTCATTCACTGGGACCCTACAATGAGGGTAAGGTGTAAACCTGAAAGAAGCTTTTAAGGACAAAACTGAGTTGGGGATGGGGGAGAAAGATGAAAAGAAAAGCAATGAAGAGATCCCATGGTTGGCTTAGTGAATGAGCATGTGTTGGGAAGGCCCAGCAGATGGAAGGCCTGCTGAGTGTGATTTTGGAGGCCAAGACAGTGCCTTTGGTTTTGTGGTATAGCTTCCAGTGGGAGAGCTCACTGCCCAGTGCACTGTGACTAGGATGGCCAGCTGTGAACACCCTCCCTGTCAAGATTTCTTTTATGTGCTTGCACTGCCAGATCTCAGTGTTCCCAGATATAAGGCTTGGGCTTTGCAGTATATCCCCTGAGGAGTAAGTAGCAGCTGCCAGAAAAGAACTTGATGCCCCAGCTTGGAGGTAGAGTAGATGATGAGAGCAAGTTTTTCTGGAAGAGAAAATGAGATGCCCTGCAGGCCAACCTTTAAAAACTGCAAGGTGCTAAGCTAATGGGAGAGGGCTAGATAGGTGGGCTTTCTTGCAAAGGAGGAAACCTCAGAACTGCTGGCTTAGCTCCTGAAGGGAGTTGCAAGATTCTCTTTGCACATCTGAAAGCTGCATAGTTCAAAATTCTCTTTGGCAAATGTTTCTGATACAGGGCTGAGGTCATAGGCTCTAGAGGCTGACTCAGGTTGGAGGCCTGGCTCTGACACTTCTCTGGGTTATCTGGTGCAATTTTCTCCTCTGGAACATGGGGATAATACCCTCTGTCTTACTGGATTGTGATAGTTAGATAGTGCTTGTAAAATACCTAGCAGTGTCCAAGCATACAATAGCTCAATAAGTGGTTAGGTATTGACTGGAGATTATACATATGCATATATATTATATATACATATATAATCAGAAAATAGCTACCAATTATTGAGCTCCTAGTGTGTGCAGGGCATCTACATTATATGTATTAATTAGCTCATTTAATCCTAAGAGGAACACACTACAGTTCACATATTCACCATCCTCATTTTACAGATGAGGAAATGGAAGCTTAGAGATTAAGGAACTAGTGCAAGGTCACAGCCTAGTGTCATGGGCAGGTGCAGAGAGGAGACTCTTTGGATGTCAAGAAAAGAAGCACTGGGAAGGTGGACTGAATTTTACATTTTATCCTCTTCTCGTTAACAGCTCTGTGAAGATAAATTATGCTTTTGTCATTAAAAAATAATACACTAGAGGGTGCCAAATACACAACCTGTGACTTTAAAAATGATAATACAGTTCCCAGTGATACAAGACATATAATTAGTAATGGGTTCAAGCCAAAGGGCCCTCCCAAAAAGTGTATGACGCAGTTTATAATTAAGAGGCTACATTTCTATTCCCTCAATTAAAAAAAAAGAAACTCATGCTTTATATTGAGCAACTTATAATTAGTCTCTACTTTATACTGAGTGTTATTCAAAGAGCCTTTCAGGTAGGTGTTTAATTTCTCTTTGCTCTGCCTGCTGAGTGGCAAAGTGAAAGGGTAGAATAATCTGGTCAGAGTAGGGTAACCTGGATGAAATAAATTTTTAAAAATTGCACTGCAATATATTTTATTTTTTAAAATTTAGCAAAATAAAACATTTGCATATATTTTTAAAAGGAAAAACTCATACCCAAGAGTTTAAAATGAATAGAAATGCAACCCTATCCTCAACCTTAAATTCAAGAGGGAACAACTTTTACAGGTAACTAGATTCCTAAACAATGTTTGATTCTATTTCTTGATTTATCAAACTGACATTATTTTTCCTTTATGAAAACTGAGGACTTAGCTAACAGAATATCCACCTCTTTGTGATTTTGTGGAAATCAGTCACAAAGACAGTTTACAAAATAGTTTTTATTTTTCCCACTACTACATGAACAATATTTCATCATTGTAGAACATTTTAAACATAAAGAGGAAATTAACATTTTGATGCATATCCTTACACATTTTTTGCACTATATATTAAAGCATATGATGCTCATCTTTTTATGTCATTCAATATTCTCCCATTTCCCTTTTTTTATTGTAGTATCTTCTAGCTACACTAATAAAAGAGAAAGATGCAAATTGACCATACCTTCACAATGCCCACCAGCCAATCAGGAGTGAGTATGCAAATTAAACCCATCACCTCTGTGGAGACTGACAGCAGGGAGGAGGCAGCTCCCAGCACTGCACAGCCTGTTTGGCCGTTGCCACGGCGACCTAGGGGCAGGCAAGCGCAGCCCGCAGGCAGCACCCAACACGGCCTGCTTGGCAGTCACTGTGGTAGAGAGCAGGCAGGCCCCACAGAGAGCAGAGAACCACAGGGAGCGGGCCTAAGCCGTCAGTAGGACATCCCCTGAAGGCTCCCGGATTGGAGAGGGTGCAGGTCAGGCTGAGGGACACACACACACACACACACACACACACCGTGCATGAATTTTGTGCACCAGGCCTGTAGTTTATATATAAAAGGCTACTATGAAAAATGTCCCCTCAGGAGTTCAACTGGAGACTGGGAGTTTGATCACTCGCTATGACATGCACTGACCACCAGTGGGCAGCGCGGAGCAAAGGAAGGCCCGGGCCGGCAGCCAGAAGGCCCCAATCGGTCCTGATTGCCAGCCATGCTTAGGGACCATGCACGAATTTCATGCACCGGGCCTCTAGTACTTACACCAGTGGGCAGCGCGGAGCAAAGGAAGGCCCGGGCCGGCAGCCAGAAGGCCCCAATCGGTCCTGATTGCCAGCCATGCTTAGGGACCATGCACGAATTTCATGCACCGGGCCTCTAGTACTTACACAAAAGGTATCTTTTGTAAAGTATAAGGAATCCAGATCTTCAACTGGATTGGGAATCAGATAATTTCACTGCACAGAGGGAATTGTGTTTGATGGTATCATCCAACCTCAGTTAAACTGTGTCTGAAGGGGCAAGAATTTAAGAGAGTCCTGCAGGGATTGTAGAAATCAATTGAAACTTAGGTTAAGAACTCAGTCTGGAAAGAAAAGTTCTAATTATTCTTCAACATCTCAAGACTCAGTGGAGCATGAATGAGTCAGTCAGTCATGAGTTTATAGGTTTTATAAGTAATGACCTTGTCCATTTTTCAGTGGAAGATAATCTCTTTCATGATGTTTCTTTTTCATTCCCTTATAAATTATCACAAGAAGTACAGACAAGTACTACAGTCACCAGTGCAACTAAAAAAAATCCCCCAAAACTTTAAGACCCGTCTCTGCCCCTTTGCCTGATTCCAAACGGTAGGGGGCAAGTTTTGGGAAAGCATTACGGCCTCGCGTCAGATAGCAACCTAAAATGAACCTGGGAAGAGGCTAGTCTATCTCTACATTCCCTGTGAAATAAAACTGCACATAACTTGGGCTTGCCCATCATCCCAACAGAATACTCATCCAGTACAAAGTTCTGCACAAAAGAGGGGTCAAGTTCAATAAAAGCATAAAATTCCTTAGGAACTAGGAGCCTGGGATTTGGAAAACATGCTCAAGAGACATCCAACACCAGCTCATTTAGGTGGGAGAAAGCCATTCCCATGGGCATGGAGAATCAAAAACACTTCCCTAACCCAACACAACATGGCACTGAGCAAACAGGCGCCCAATAAATCCACATCGCTTTTTATTTACTCTTACTTAACCTTTATGCTGGATACCACGCTGTGCCAGGCATTTTTTAAGGGCTTTGCATGGCTTACCTCATTTGACCCATTAACAAAGAGGCTCAAGAGAGATTAACGTTTTCGATCTGGACACAGCTGTTAAGGGGTGGGGGAGTCAGAATTCAAACACAGGTCCGTCCCAAGGCAGGCCCCTGGCAGAGCAGCGCGAACACTGAGCAGTCGTTTCCTCCCGGCCCGCAGGACAATGGGCTTCCGGGCGTTGCCGGAAGATGGCGGCTTCGCCAGCCGCACGGTCGGAGCCAGTTGCAAGTGGCCTTCTGCTATTTGGGGAGAAAACGAGGAGCGGGTGAGATGAAGTGAGTCAGGCCCTAAACGACAAAAAAGCGACCGCCCTGCGGCCGGGGAGGGGGTGGGGTGGGGGCCGCGGGAAGCGCTGGGCGGAAGTGGGCGGGCAGAGGCGCCCTCGCCGCCCGGGCGCCCCGCCGCGGAGGAAGTGCGTTTCGGGGTTCCTCCTGAGACCAAACGGCCGGCGTGGCAGCTCCCGCGGCGCACCCCTCCGGGCCCGCCTTTGCCCCCCGCTGCCCCGCGGCTCTCCCGGCCGCCGGCACGAGGGGCTTCTGGCCCTGACGGGGGCTGCCGCTCTCCGGCTGGGTCGCGGCGGAACGGGCGCGCCTGCCCCGCCCGCCGGAGGGCGTCTCCCCTTGTGACGCCGGAAGCGGCCGGTTCCGCCCTTCAGCGCGCGGGCCGCCCGCTGCGCAGCCGCCGCACCTTGTCTTCCGGGCCCGCGGCCCAGCGCTGGGTCGAGGTCACGAGGGCGAAGTACCACCGCACCGGGAGCGTGAGGGAGGTCGCGGCGGAGAGGTTTCTCCTCAAGTGTCAAGTGGCTGGTGGGCCCTTAATGGGCTCTTGGTTGTGTCCGTAGATTTGACTTATCAGAGAAATGGAAGGGCCCGTGTCCGCAGAAGTTTAAAGCGCCCCTCTTAACTGGCCAGACGGTGGGAAGAGGGCTCAGGCTCTCCTGGTGCTTCTTCTGGGGCCGTGGTTCTCAACCTTCCTAATGCCGCGACCCTTTAATGCAGTTCCTCATGGTGTGGTGACCCCCAACCGTAAAATTATTTTCGTGGCTACTTCATAACTGTAATGTTGCTACTGTTATTTTTTTTTTTTTATTGCTTAAAGTATTACAAAGGGTATTACATATGTGTCCATTTTATCCCCCCGCCCTAGACAGTCCCCTAGCCTCCCCTATCCCCCAATGTCTTATGTCCACTGGTTATGCTTCTATGCATGCATACAAGTCCTTTAGTTGATCTCTTACCCCCCTACCTCCTGCCCCGCAACCCTCCCCGGCCTTCCTGCTGCAGTTTGACAATCTGTTTGAGGCAGCTCTGCCTCTGTATCTATTATTGTTCAAAAGTTTATAATGGTCTCTATTATCCATGAATGAGTGAGATCATGTGGTATTTTTCCTTCATTGACTGGCTTATTTCACTTAGCATAATGCTCTCCAGTTCCATCCATGACTTTGCAAATGGTAAGAGTTCCTTCCTTTTTAGAGCAGCATAGTATTCCATCGTGTAGATGTACCACAGTTTTCTAATCCATTCATCTACTGATGGGCACTTAGGCTGTTTCCAGATCTTAATGTAATGTTGCTACTGTTATGAATCGTAACGTAAATATCTGATCTGCAGGATGTATTTTCATTGTTACAAATTGAACATAATGAAAGCATAGTGATTAACCACAAAAACAATATGTAATTATATATGTGTTTTCCGATGGTCTCAGGCGACCCCTGTGAAAGGGTCGTTTGACCCCCAAAGGGGTCGCGACCCACAGGTTGAGAACCGCTGTCCTAGAGTAAGACTCCTCCCTGCTGGCTTCTCCCTGCAGCCGCTTTGAAGGGAGCAGGTTTCTTCAAGGTCAGTTGAGGGAAGGGGTCCGCTGCAGCTGGAAGCGACATACGCCGATAGACATGCCATTAGTCACAGACCTCATTACTGAGTCTTCTATCAAAACTTCAACACTTGTCAAGTGATGCCTAGCTGGGAGTCCATAGGTAGCAGTGACTTGTGTATGCACTACAAAATACACGTCCAAACACTGACAAGGGATTTACAAATAGGCTTTATGGGGCTGTCAATAGGCCCGTGGCACAAAAGTAGTTTAGAATCTCTGCGTATTTGGGGGTGAGGGAGGCATCTCTGGAAGCAAGCCACTGGCTTAGAGACAAATTATATATATATAAAGCTTTCTTTGGTTGGTCATTTACGCTTATTTTCTGGGAGCTTGAAACAACCAAAGTTTGTTTTGGCCAGTAAAGTATGTCCTAGGAAAAAGTACACTCATTATTAAGTCCTACTTCAAAGGTCTGCTCCAGAAATTAAGCTGTCATGTTGCCTGTCCATATTTTCCATCTTCTTTTGGGAATCAGATGTTGGCTCTTTACTGCAAATAATTTGGTTCCATTAACCATCAGAAAAGGAGGGCTTCTGACCAGTCACTATCTTAATCCACACTTTGTGCTTTTTAAAGCTGTATTCCTTATGTACAAAGAACTCCTGAACTAGTTTCCAGTTGTGACTGGGTTCACAGGATACTAATGTAACTTGCTAAAAAAAATTTTAAAGCCTGTCAACAAATTATTTGGGTAGCAGTGTTAGTTTTTTAAAAAAATATTTTTATTCATTTTTAGAGAGAGGGAGAGAAACATTGATTGGTAGCCTCCCCGACGAACCCCAAGGATCAAACCGGAAATCTCCGTACATGCTCTGAGTGGGAATCTTAACTGGTGACCATTTGGTGCATGGGACAACGCTAGACAGAGCCACACCAGCCAGGGCTAATAGTATGTTTTGTGTTAAACCCATTATACAGATAGGTAACTTCCTTTTTAGATAAAAAAAATTTGTTAATTCCCTTAATTCATTTGACCAGGTAAGTCCCCTCCCCCAAAACTAATCTTTGAAAGTGCTATTCACTGATACCCAACAATGAAATAGCTTTTATGGTTGCCTTTAAGCATGTCATTTTCCTATTCAATAGGAATAGAGGAAAGGGACTAACAAATCTCAGGTGTGACGCAGTTATTGTGTGCAGCTCAAAATAGTTCTCTCCCCTTCCTTTCCCTGTAGGATTGCCTTGTAAAGTCATAGCTCCTTAAAAAAAAAAAAATCCGTGATTGTTCAAATACTCTCCTTCTTACAGTTGTTCATACTATATGCCCTATAAAATTTGCATTCCTAAAGGCTTGTTAAAATGTTGAACTGGTTTTCATCAAATATCCCATCAATGAGGAGTCTAATGTTATGGTATCATTTGTCATATTTTAAAAGCGGACAATCTCTTCATTGCAGTTTCAGTTTCTCAAAAAAGGAACATTACTTGATAAAAAAAAAACAAAAACACATACAGGATTGAACCGATTTTGACTTGGTCATTTGACCCAAGAGCCACATTTTAAGGACCATTGGCTTAGAGACAAATACATAAAGCTTTCTTGGTTGGTCCCAGGTTATCCATGCAACTAAAAAGATTTTGTAGAATCAGATGGAAAATATCTATGGAGGTATAACAAGAGACCAAATTGAATAATTTGTACAAAATCATACTTTTGCTTTGAAATTCTTGAAGTCCTGTTGTGTTAGAAAGGAGCATCACAACCAAATGAAATGTGGATGGAGAAAAACGTTTCACAAATGCTTTATGACTGTTATTTATGATTAAAACTTACAATTCTCTGTTGTCTTGGTTAATGTCGACTAAAGGCCTAGGCTGATGTAAAAGTGTTGGAGTTGGCAAACAGAACCTTTGCAGGCTCAGGACCTGAATCAAGTTATCAAGTTGTTAAAAAAAGAAAAGAAACTGTACTGCAATCACACTTTGGCAAATACCTGATCAAATTTGTTGGCTAAATACAGTGAGATGCTCCCCAAAGATGTAGACAGAGGCTGTCTATGTGCTTCTGTGACAAGCAGCTAGAGTTCTTGTATAAGACTTAGTGGGACCTTGCACCAAGAACCAGTGCCATATGGTAGAACATAAAATCCAATTATCTGCCACTCCCTAACAAGTTTGAAAATATACTTGTCTAGGTCCTGGCTGGGTAACTCATTGGGTTAGAGAGTCATCCTGATACACCAAGGTTGCGGGTTTGGTCCCTGATCAGGGCACCAAGAAGCAACCAATGAATGCATAAGTGGCACAAGAAATCGATGTTTCTCTCCCTAAAATCTATCTATATGCATGCTATATTTGTATATTGCCCACAACTGCTAAATGATTCTGCATAAGAAAAAAAAAACTTAAAAAGGAGGAAGTTTTTGAGACTCACCAGATGAAAGTGAGAAACATAAGTTTAGGAGGAACATGTACTTCGTAAACTTTAAAACTTGAGAGGGTTGATCTCATGTTTCTTTTACAAAAAAAATTTTTTTTAAAGATAAATGCATGGGATTTTGTAAACAAAAAGGTATTTTTGCAATGTAAACTCCCTATGCAGTCTCTCCTGTGAAACTGTAAAATACACATTTACTTACTAATGCCCCACAAAGTAAATTCTTTTGGGGGAACCTGATTAAGTATACAGTCTTGTTTTAAATTTTCGCATGAGTTTTGCCTATGGGATGTACATGCATCGATGACCATTTTTTTTTTTTAAAGTATTTTATTGATTTTACAGAGAAGGGAGAGGGACAGAGAGAAACATCGATCAGCTGCCTCCTGCACACCCCCCACCGGGGATGTGCCCGCAACCAAGGTACATGCCCTTGACCAGAATCGAACCTGGGACCCTTCAGTCTGCAGGCCGATGCTCTATCCACTGAGCCAAACCGGTCAGGGCTCGATGACCATTTTTAAGTCTAATATAGGTTTGATAATTTATAAAATGCTAACACCTTATTGAAGAGTCCATCATCTTGAAAATCTTATGTCTGATCAACTTTATTAAATAGTCAAGTAATAAAAAGTGTTCATAATTTGTGATCCTATTGCATTAAAACTTTTGACTTAGTAGTGCCATCTTTGAAGGTTGTTTCCCAGTGAGGAGGCAAATAATCTTTCCATTTATTGATGTCACATACCCTCTTAGTATTCCTTTTGAATATTGAGCATGACAGAGACTTTGGCTCACAGTTGAAGCTACTGGTTTGTTTCTCTTTATAATGAGAATATTGCCAACATATTTCAGAGAATGTTGTACAACCAACTCCCCTAATACTCAGCAGGTAAGAGTGAGATTAAGTAAAACACATACTAGATGTACTAAATAAAACTTAGTATTTGCTAGTTCTTATGATATATATATATATTTTTAATTCTCTGCAACTTACTTTAAAAAAAAAATATTTCATTGACTTTCTACAGAGAGGAGGGGAGCGGGAGAGCCAGAAACATCGATGAGAGAGAAACACTGACCAGCTGCCTCCTGCACACTCCCCACTGGGGATGTGTCCGCAACCAAGGTACATGCCCCTGACCAGAATCGAACCTGGGACCCTTCAGTCCGCAGGCCAACGCTCCATCCACTGAGCCAAACCGGTCAGGGCTGATATATATTCTTGAATTACATTTTCTTCCTACATATATGTCAAGAAGATATAAAGACCTATACTAATTGTATTTAATTATTTGCCTGCTCATTAGCCAGTTCTTAATATTTGTATTTTGACCCCCTGGTTAAACTAGCTTCTCTCTTTTCCATATATGAACAGATCCCTTGATGATCAACAGGCTCTTACTAGTTGCCATTTGTTTCTTTTTTTTTTTTTTTTTAAATATATTTTATTGATTTTTTACAGAGAGGAAGGGAGAGAGAGAGAGAGCCAGAAACATCGATGAGAGAGAAACATCGATCAGCTGCCTCCTGCACATCTTCCACTGGGGATGCGCCCGCAACCCAGGTACACGCCCCCGACTGGAATCGAACCCGGGACCCTTCAGTCCCCAGGCCGACGCTCTATCCACTGAGCGAAACCGGTCTCGGCAACCCATTTGTTTCTTAAACAGCTTTTTGTTTACTTAGTTTGCTTATGGAATGAGCAATTCCAAATAACCTATGCTGTTTGTAACCTATCCACCCAATCCTTCGTTTTGTGGGACAAAATAAATTTAGGATATTGTATTCTGTTCTAGAGACTGAAGAGAAGAAAAGGCTGTCCAAAGATGCAAACAAACTACCTTAATAATGCTGGCTATTTAAATAAGAGGCCAGTTACTTGTTGGGCAAACTAATGCATGCATATAGAGGGAAAACCTTGGTTTTTCGGCTGATCCTAAATTCTATCAGTCTCCACTATTTGTTAATAAACTAATGCTGAATGGTCCAAGATTGACCACTGTGATAGCCTCCAAATACATCTAGTCTCAAGATTTACGTTTGGGTAAACTCTGGTTCTACGAACAGTGATTCTTGAGTCTCTAGGGATAATAGAAACAAAATGATTTGATAAATAAAAAATGAAGGCTGTAATTCCATCCTTATTTCTGCTGTTGGGTCCTTATATACCATCTTATTTATAACTACAGTCACTTGTAAATTACTCCTCAGTGCCTCTTGAATAGTAAGAATGATTAACACAATGGAATGTCGGACTAAATGCCACACCTCATTTGTCCCTACTGCCATGAATAAAATTTCTTCCCACATAACAATTCTTATCCATACAGGCCAGGCAAAAGTAGGTTTACAGTTGTTCATATGGAAGACATGCAGGTTATGATTATTACAACAGCTTTATTAACTCAAAAGAATGTCACAATGCACTTAGGTATAATCTCGTATGTGCTCAAATTGCCGGCCTTCATTATTTACACATTCTTGTAGTCGACTTGCTATATTTGAGCACACTTTGACACAGAGTTCTTTATTGTCATCAATTTCTTGACATGCTTCTCTTATGCAACGAATCATATCATCCATAGTATGTGGTTTTCGTGAAAAGACTTTATCTTTGACAACACCCCAAAAGAAGAAGTCCATTGGAGTGAGGTCTGGTGATCGTGGTGGCCATTCCACTGGCCCTCGTCGACCTATCCACCTGTTGGGTAATTGTTCATCAAGGAACTCACGTACTGTTACAGCACAGTGTGGAAGAGCTTCGTCTTGTTGAAAGAAGAAATCATCATTATCATGCTGTCTCTGTAATTGTGGCAAAACAGTGTCCCTTAGCATGTCGAGATATAGGTCGTGTGTAACAGTTGTATGGAAAAAAATGGGTCCAAGTACCCCTTTACAGGAAAGACCCGCCCAAACTGTAATCCCTGGCTGATTCAATTGTCCTTCTATCATTACATGGGGATTTTCTCTTGAATAGTAGACACAGTTGTGCCGATTTACAGCACCTGAAAGTTTAAAATGAGCTTCGTCGGACCACGTAATTTTATCAATGATGCCATTGCCTTGTCTTTCTTCATTCAGAACCACTTCACAGAATTGTAAACGGCGATCTGGATCATCCTCTAGTAACCCATGAAGCAATCTTGGCCGATACATTTTCAAACCTAAACGTTGCATAATACGACTCAAAGATCTACAGGAAATGCCCAATTCAACAGAAGCTCGTTGTTTGGATTTTTTGGGGCTCTCTGTAAATGCCTGACTCACTAACATTTCATTTTCCTGGGTGGTAATACTGACTGGTCGACCACTTTTTGGAGCATTACAGATGGACCCAGTTTCATCAAATTTATCACGTATTCTATAAATTGTTTGTCTACTTGGGGAAGGTGTATCAAATTCTTCAGCCCATTTCTGTCGAACCTTTTCGGCATTCTCCGTCTTCCAGTATTGTTTAAGTATCCATTTTCGTTGGTCAATGGTTAAATTCCCAGCCATGATTACCTAAAAGAGAAATCATAAGTAAGGGTACAAAATAACAATAATAAAACAAGTAATACAAGGATAAACTGTTTTATGTGCTCACAACTATAAACCTACTTTTGCCAACTCCTGTATATATTAAATGCAATTGTGTTGTCTTCATGCCTTTTAGGTTATAAAATACCATAGCTAATGGCTACACTAGTGCACTACTTTGGTTTCCTATGAATGAAGGAGATTCCCACTGTCTATACCTAGTAACCAGTAAAACACAGCCAAGGCCACTAGCTAAGCAGTATCAGCAGGGAAAGACCTGGTGGGACGTAACCTTGATCTAGGGGAAATTAAATTGTACATTTTCTATTCCTGGTTAATATCTTCTGGATAATATAGTGACCATTGTGGGAGTTATTCAAAACTAAAAGGTATCAGTATTCTTAGAAACAATCATGCCCACCCACAAAATCAGTTTATTACCAACTTGATGAAAAGTGAGTTTTTTGTACTGAATTTCCCATGTTTTTCCTATGTATATCCACATACTTTGGTTATTATTGACTTGCTGAAGTAATTAGTAGTTCTTTATATTTAGCTTTTATAAATAATTTATAAATCAAAAGAATGCCTACTTACCAATCAAAGGTGGGGATTTCAAACATAGGTATCAAGACACCTGACTTTTTTTTAAAAAAAGATATATTTCATTGATTTTTTACAGAGAGGAAGGGAGAGGGACAGAGAGCTAGAAACATCCATGAGAGAGAAACATCGAACAGCTGCCTCCTGCACACCCCCCACTGGGGATGTGCCCGCAACCAAGGCACACGCCCCTGACCGGAATCGAACCTGGGACTCTCCAGTCCACAGGCTGACGCTCTAGCCACTGAGCCAAACCGGTTAGGGCAAGACACCTGACTTTTAAAAAATGTTTTGCTGAATGATGTATTTTTGTTTTAAAAAATTTTTTAATTACAGTTGACATTCAGTATTATATTAGTTTCAGGTGTATAGCATTGTGGCTAGACTTATACAACTTATGAGGTGATCTCCCAATAAGAAGACACCTAACTTTGTTATTAATAAGCAAGTAGATGTCTCTCAAGGCTAAAGTCACAGTAACCAAGTTGAGACACAGGTGTGTTAAAAAAAAAAAAAGTCATCCAATTATGAAAAAAAGGCATATCTCCTTGGCCAGTACATTACCTCCAAGGAGGTTAACTATAGTTAAGTTTAATTATATTAATTGAACATGAAACCAAAATATATATGTGGAATTCTTAGAATACTATATTTTCTGGCATTAGGACTAAAATATTTTATATTGAAGTGGATCTTTAAAGTCCTAGCTCATGACATCTAAATTTCTTAAGATCTACTCTTAAGTTACTAATTCTAAATGAAGTGATGCTTCTTTCTACTCCTGAGTTGCACTTCTGGGTTTAAAGTTACTGGTTTCACCTTTAAGGGAAAACAGTAACCTTACAAAAGATCACATTGTCTAAACATCTTAGAATAATTATTTGTAAAATCAGTAGGATGGCCTGGCCCTGGTTCAATTCCCGGTCAGGGCACATAACCAGGTTGTGGGCTCAATCACCGAGGATGGGAGGTGGGGGCCGTGCAAGAAGCAACTGATCAATGATTTTCTCTTCGTTGATATTTCTATCCCTCTCTCCCTTTTCCTTCTTCTCTGAAATCAATAAAAATATATTTTTTAAAAATTAGGATGAAATGTCAGTTGTTTAACCGTTGATAACTCCTCCCCTTTTAAGATGTTCAGATATATTGAGTGGGGATGAGTTTAGAAATAAGACTTCTTTTTAACAACAAACTTAGACAACTCCAGAATATCCCAAATTTCTAGAAAACAATTTACTGTTCTGATAAAATCTCCAAGAAGAAATGGTTCATGGCAATAGTACCTCCAAGCCTCTCAGGTTGGAGAGGTAAATATTACATAACACTGCCCAAAAAAGAAATGAAAAAGCACTGTCTTTGCACTATGGCTCTATATAGACATTTTAGTGAAATGCCTGATACCATGTTTTTAAAGCTGCATATTCATGAAACATACCTGAGTATGAGAGGCTTGTCAAAATGCAGATTCCTGGGCTACACTAAGTAGTTCAGCATATGGGTCTTCAGGAATTGCTACATTCTTAGAAAATAATGAATGATGATACATCTTGTTTTGGGGAACTCTGGGTGTGGAGGCTAGGAATGTTTAGTTTAATAAGCTTCCCAGATAATTATGGTGATCAAACTGGCTTGGGAACCACTGACTTGAACCCCATGCCTATAGCAGAGAAACTAATTTTAAAAAGTGGATTAAAAAAAAAAAGACTTGGTAGCTATGACTCTAGGCATAAGAAATTTGCCTCCAATTAAAATTTAAGTTGTTAGAAATGGATGACCAACCAAGTTCTGGCTTGATAAACAAACACATTATATTTCTATTAGTTCTTTATGTAAGTACCTTCAACTAACACTTAGAAAAAGACATTTGTTGGTATCTGTATAACAGAATATATCAACTCATTTAATGTTGCAAATCTTAGTGATTTTTGACTTAGTGCGCTAAACCTTCCCAAAGAATATAAAATTGCTTGTGTTGTGTGTGTGAATTGGTTAGCACATTAATGGATTCAGTTTTATAAAAATGGATATTAAAATAATCTGTTGATTATAAACCATTAAAAATTGAAGCTAAATAACTTCCCATACAGATAAGCACTTAGCCCTGAACTTCCATCCTATTAATAGGGTTGTTCAACTGTTTAGAAAAATTAGCTATGGGAAAGTCCTCCTCTCTAGTGTAATTTATGTTTATAGTTATGCTTTTACTATTATACATTGAAATAAAATACATAATAATAGTAATAAGAATTACTATTATACATTGAAAAGGCAGGTTAAACCTGAAAAATAAGAATCTATAAACAAACATCAGAAGATGGATAGGACTTTTCATTTTGTTCAAAACAATTTAACACCTTTTGAAGGGAGGCTTTTATTTGCAATGGACAAAGTACCAGGATATGTTTCACTGGGCATTGTAAGTCTTTCAAGACAATTATGAGGGATGAAACCTAAGAAGAACAGATGTCCAATTATTTTCTTCGTATTATTCTTTTCTAGAATAAGGATGGTTTTGCTCTTCTGCACACATCATTAGTAATTTTAGGTTTCCTAACTTTTAACTACAAAAATACATCTCTAACCCTGTTCACAATTTTAGTAGCTATTTTGCAGGTTTATACTTACACTAAAGAGTGAAGAGACCTACTTAATTTAAATATTTACTTGAGCACTATGTCCTAGGTGTGTTTTTAAAAATTTTTTTAACTGACTTTAAGAGGGAGAGGGAGAGAGAGAAACATCGATGGGAGAATGGAACATTGATCAGCTGCCTCTTGCACACAATCTACAGGAGATCAAGCGCCAAACCTGGGCACATGTTCTGTCCGGGAATCGAACTAGCATCCTTTAGGTGCACAGGACAGTGTGCAACCAACTGAGCCACACCAGCCAGGCTGTCCTAGGTGTTAATGCAAGAACTATGCATTCATCTGAGGGAGACAATGCAAGTTAAACACTGGCCTTCAGGAGCTCATATTCCAGCAGGGTGAGGAGATTCTATATAGTTATAAATAAACTGCAGTTAAGTGCTATAATAGAGCTCAGGAAAAGGTTTATGGAACTATAAAGAACAATGGACTTCTTAGAAGAGCACCAGGGAAAACTTCATAGAAGAAAACACTTGAACTGAAGGATCTTCCTTCTCAAGGGGGGATGAGGGGAGGTATTCCATGTAGAGATGATTTTACAAAAGAAAGGTCAGAGGTCACACGGTAAGTTTCGGGAACTGAAAGCAGTAATAATATGGGTGGAAGCAAGAAGGACTATTTGGATCTTACATTGGAAAAAGACAGGAACCAGATTACAGAAGGTCTAGTATGCCATCTTAAGGAGCGTGCACTCCATTAAAGCATTTCAAGATAAGATTCACATGTTAATAAAATCACCTTGAAGGATGACAGATGGATTAGGAGTAAAATTAAAGCTAGAGTAAGCCAGGAGATCACTATATATATTATATATAATATAATTTTTCAGGCAACTGCCTGAACTAAAGTAGAGGCAGTGGTGATGAACAGGAGGGGAAGTAGACCACAAAACAAAGTTAGAATGGACATTATTTAGGAAGATAATGGACATGGGTGTTAAAGGATAGTTTGTATTCCATTTTTAGTTAATCTACATGCAAGCATTTTCTCATATCACTGCAAACTAGAACATCTTGGGGGTGGGGGCTGCTCTCTGGTAATACATACTTATTGTAGAAAATCTTTCTGTAAGCCTACATGCAAACCTAGAGAGAACCAGTGAAAGCATTCTACTTTATTTCTTTGACCCATTTCTATGGAAATACCCTGCACAAAAATTCCACAAAATTGTAATAGTATTTTCATATTTTTACCATTTCTTTGTAGTATGTAATGCTTTGAAATAATTATTTGAAAATAATTTAAGTACTGTATTTATGGACTTGACTATGTCCTTATTTGCTGTTAACCATTTTAAAAACCAAGTTTTAGGTATAATGTTGCTATTTAAAGAACTAAAACTAGCAACTATACTGGTTTCCATATTTCTTACAATTTTATTCATACAAGAACTCCCAAAGTCTGGGAACCAAAGGATTTGATTAGCTCTAAAGCCCTACCGACTCTTTTTAGCTTGTTACTCATAATATACTGGATTACTACATTCTTACCAAGACCCAGAAGAGTTTCATAATTACTTTGCTTTGTTGACTTATACCCTAGAAGTCTATACCGACATGCATTGTTTGATTTGTCCTATATCTTTGAAGTTATCCTATCTTCAAACAATGGCTC